AGAGCAAATTCCTTGGGAACAGGGATAACTTTTTCACTCTATGAGAGACTCGCCATTGATTTGTTTACTTGCAAAAAACTGTTTTGTACCAAATACCAAAGTTCGAATTAAACTTATTCGAGCTAGACCTAATTTTTACATGTTATCTGATAATCCAAATGTCAGTCTGAAAATAGTTGATTGTTCACTGTTTACAAGAAGAATTTTAGTAGCTGAACCTAATCATCAATATTTGCAATGGAATCTGGAAAGGGAACCTGCTCATTACAATTACATGGAAACTATAGCAAGAACCTTTATCATTCCATCTCGTCAAAACCAGTTTATTCAGGAAAATGTTTTCAATAATGCCCCAATCAGAAGGATAGTTGTTGCAATGAATACAAATTTGGCTGTTGCGGGATCTTTTTATGAAAATCCTTCCAATTATCAACAATTTCATTTGAGAGAGCTTAGAATTATTCGGGGTGGAAGAGCAATTATTTCATTAAATACAACTTCTCCTTGTCGACCCTATGTTACAACAATGAAAGCAATGCAGTTTAACGAAGATTTTCCAGCTCTTCCTATGGAAGATTTTCAAAATCACTATATTCTAGTTTTCGACTTGACTTCACTACAAGATGCCGCTGAGCACTTGCATTATCCAGAACTTAGTGGAGAAAGCTTGAGATTAGAAATGTTTTTCCAATTTCCCTTGGAGCAAGTAACGGAAGTGATAGTCTTGGGAGAAAGACTATCAAATTATCAAATTGAGAAATTCGGAACAGTCGCTAAAAATGTTTAATCTTTTTGAGTTTTCAGGTTCCTATAAAAATATTGTAACTTGTTTTGGACTTTTCTTTGTTACTATCTCTGTACTATCTATATTGTTTTTCTTCAGACCTAAAGCTCCAGAAAAAATAGAGAAGGAATGCTGTTTAGTTGAAAATCCGAGACACTTCTTCAACCTAGACTGTAAAACAGTATTCAATAAACTTTGCCCACTATATAAGGCTTGTGTATGGGACTTTGTTGATTCAATTCCTAAATGTGTGTAAGTCATTATTCTTCCTTTTTTTTAACCTAAAGTACACTATCAAACTATCAATTTCATTTTTAGCTGTAAATCAGCCTACAATTGCAAAGATGGATAACATTTCACTTTTGCAAATTATTGAAAGAATTCCAGAGCTCAGGTTCAAGTACATGGGATCATACCCTTCTGATACAGTACCTCAACTAACAAAATACTCTTTTGCAATTATTAACTCAGCCCGAAGCAATGATAGAGGAGAACACTGGATTATGATTGCTCGAATGAATAAAAGCTACTACTTTGCTGATTCTTTGGGAAGAAAGAGATCAACTTACCCTTTTTTGACAAAAAAGCTTCGACGAATGGTTCCTCGAAAGCTACAAAAAACTGATAATTTGTGTGGTTTTTACGCAATTTATTCAGCATTTCTCCTTTTCAAGTTCTTCCAGTTCTTCCAATAATGTTCATGATGTGTATGTTTTGAATTTTATCAATAATTTTATGTAGAAGTGAATTTTTTATTTGTTAGTGTAATTTTGTAGTAATTTTACTATACGATGTAGTGAATTGTTTGATTATTTATGTAATTTAACTTTTTAAATTCCTTAAATTTTTTTACGAAAAGCATCTTAGCAACTAACTCTTTGATGAAATACGGAGAATGATGATGGAATTTGGATGTTGTAGTCGCCCAATTGAAAGAACTAACGATAGAGTAGATAAATTTACGAAAATTGTAACCAATTTCTAGTAAATTGTATAATTTTCTTAAAAGTTTACTCTGAGAAAGATGGAAAAATTATTACACAAAAAAATCAGAACCAAAAAAAAATGATATTATGTTCTTCTCAGTGTAAATTTGTACCGTGGCTGAGCAATTGATAATGTTGGATGATAATTTTTTGGAAAATTTGGAAATTTCAAATAATTTTTTTGGAAAATTTGGAAATTTCAAAGAATTTTTTAAAGATGAAAGACAAAGTGATAAAAGAGAACTGAAATGAATCGTAGCAAAAAAAAATGACAGAATAAATAAACCAATTGAGGTAAAAATAAGTTAGATAATTATGTGAAAAAAGATAAAATAAGTCATAAAATTAACAAGTGTAATGAACCTGTCATCCGTTCCCCAGATAACCTGCGGAAAAAAGATTAAGTAGGATATAAAAGTAATCAACCGTGAGGAGCTGTCAAGATTCCCCTGATATTCCGTGGAGCGGAATAACTAACCTGTCAAAGATAATCCCCTCTTGACAATTTTCCCCAGATAACCTGAGGGAAAATAAATAACATGAAATAAGAATTTAAGATTCTTTCGAGAAAAAAAATTTTCCGTGATATATTAGTTTATGATCCCATACTCTAAATCGAAACTCAATTTTTGTCGAAACTTACCACCTGAAACTTACCATCCAAAAAAAAATTTTCAATTTTTAATAAAAAATTGTTTTTTCAAGATAAAAATGTATTTGCAAGTACAACTTTAAAAATTTTCAAAAAATTTTCTGAAACTTACCTTCTGAAACTTACCATACCGAATTTTTGTAAGACATGATAGTCCTTACATATCACAAATCGTAGAAGTTAGCTAAGAAACGCAAGTATCGGCAAAATCGAGCTCAAAAAATTCGGGCGCCAAAAATTTTTCTGAAACTTACCATCTGAAACCTCGTATCTTAATACATTGGGAAACCTATTCCCTATCTTAATACATAGGAAATCTATTCCCTATCTTAATACATAGGTTGGCGACCGGATAGTCTATAGCCTATCTTAATACATGGGGGTCGCCAGGCCCCCCCTTGAACTGCCCCAACCTAAACTACTCAAGAATTAAAAACCGAAAAACAATTTAGCCAAGAATGAAAAACCAAAAAAAAACTCTTCATTCAAGAATCAAAAACCGAAAAACACTTCAACCGAGAATGAAAAACCGAAAAACACTTCAGCCAAAATTTCAAAAACCGAAAAACACTTCAGCCAAGAATGAAAAACCAAAAAACATTTCAGCCAAGAATGAAAAAAAAAGCGAGGCTCTTTTCCAGTTCCCCCCCTTTCAAAATACCGATTTTTCTGTTTGTTTTACGTGTTATTACGGCTAAATGCGTGATGTTACGCTGTAAAGTATGAAGAACAAATCTGTTCAGAATTGTCAATTTGTTAACCACGCCAAATTTCATTGCATTACGACAATGTTAAATAGACTTTTCAGTATTGAATTTGAAAGAGGGGAAACTGGAAAAGAGCCAAAAGCGAAAAACACTTCAGCCAAGAAGCAAAAACCGAAAAACACTTCAGCCAAGTATGAAACACCAAAAAACATTTCAACCAAGAATGAAAAATTGAAAAACGTTTCAGCCAAGAATGAAAAACCGAAAAAAAATATCAGCCGAGAATGAAAAACCGAAAAAAAAACATTTCAGCCAAAATTTAAAAACCGAAAAACACTTCAGCCAAGAATGAAAAACCAAAAACATTTCAGTCAAAAATCAAAAACCGAAAAACACTTCAGCCAAGAATGAAAAACCGAAAAACATTTCAACCAAGAATGAAAAACCGAAAAAAAAAACATTTCAGCCAAAATTTAAAAACCAAAAAACACTTCAGCCAAGAATGAAAAACCGAAAACACTTCAGTCAAAAATCAAAAACCGAAAAACACTTCAGCCAAGAATGAAAAACCAAAAACCTTTCAGTCAAAAATCAAAAACCGAAAAACACTTTAGCCAAGAATTAAAAACCGAAAAAAAATTTCAGCCGAGAATGAAAAACCGAAAAAAAAAACATTTCAGCCAAAATTTAAAAACCAAAAAACACTTCAGCCAAGAATGAAAAACCGAAAACACTTCAGTCAAAAATCAAAAACCGAAAAACACTTCAGCCAAGAATGAAAAACCGAAAAACATTTCAACCAAGAATGAAAAAAAGCGAAAAACACTTCAGCCAGGATTTAACAACCGAAAAACACTTTAGCCAAGAATTAAAAACCAAAAAACAGTTCAGCCAAATTTTCAAAAACCGAAAAACACTACAGCCAAGAATGAAAAACCGAAAAACGTTTCAGCCAAGAATGAAAAAAAAAGCGAAAAACACTTCAGCCAAGAAGCAAAAACCGAAAAACACTTCAACCGAGAATGAAAAACCGAAAAACACTTCAGCCAAGAATGAAAAACCGAAAAACATTTCAGCCAAGAATGACAAAAAAAGCGAAAACCACTTCAGCCAAGAAGCAAAAACCGAAAAAAACTTCATCCAAGAATGAAAAACCGAAAAGCACTCCAGCCAAAATTTCTTGATGCATTATATAGCCGTTTCTCATCTACTACGCAAACAATCAGATTGAACCTTAATGAAGTTATAAATTTGAGATTTAATGAAAAAGTAATTGAGAAACTTGCTGGTGACCACCTAGTAAAATAAAGATATCTTTTAAAACGTGACTACATATAATTATATACGTAAATTGAATACGCAAACAAAATACGCGGATTCCAGTTACAGTTTTTGGATTTCGCTTGCTATTGCGGATTCCGCAACAGCTCAATTTAACCATGTACATGTCCTATTATTTGTTTGTAGATTCCACAAACTGTTCTGGCTTCGCAAATACAAATGCGGGTTCCGCAAACTCGCCTATTTTTGGAGCCAATTTGAGCAATAAACCTTTAGGGTATTTGTTTGCTGAATCCAAAACAGCAAAGAATATCAAAGACAAGTAGCAGTTTTTCAGAATATACGACAAATCTGATTTTGGGGAGTCTGCTTACAATGCACAGAATGCGCTGTCTGGCCGCGTAATGTTTTGGTTTTAAGCATCAGTTTATTTTGTCTTAGAAAAAGCCGATATCAAATATCTGCAGTAAATATTACCATCAATGAACGAAGAATTTTCATCAAAAAAGGATCAAAATTAAGTTTTTTTGGAGATATCAACGCAATTAGGATGGTGAGGTCGGAATCTGAAAGTGCGTACGCAAACTCACAGTTAGTTTTGCACTCCTTGAAGTGACTTCTGTCTTCACTGGGCTGCTTTTTTGCCTCCTTGGTCGCTTTCTTCTTTTCAGCCACAGAGGAACACACCAACAAACATGTGATCAAAACCAACGACAAACCCGATTTCCAAGAAAAATAAGATAAACTCATTCTGGTGAGAAGTTGATGAAACTAATTTGAAATAATATCACGATTCTTTCAACAACTTCCGGTAAATTTAAAATTAAACAGTCTGTTTTTCAGATCAAAAATGTCAATTCCCGCCGTTTTTCTCCGAGATAAGTGAGTCAGAGTCTGCTAGCCTTGGATATCAGCACGTGAACTGTTCCACAAAGTGACGTGGAAAATAAGCAACTATATTGAAAATTCAATATGAGTCAGACATCTGTTGTTCTTGCTAACAATAGTTGGTATCATAGGTTTACTGTTTTCCTATATTTAAGAATTGAATGTATTGATGCGAAAGCTTGAAAGTTTGAAGCGCAAATAAATTAACAATTGAAACAATCGTTGTTATATCTCAGCAAATAACAACATGAGCTGCGAGTCAATATTGGTCGACACGATTCCGAAATTACACGGGTTTAGTTCGATTCATGGGCCCTTTTCCAGTCCCCCCCCCTTTCAAATTCAATTTTGAAAAGTCTATTTAACGTTGTCACAATGCAATCAAATTTGGCGTGGTGATGAAATCGACAATTCTGAACAGATTTGTTCTTCATACTTTACAGCGTAACATCACGCATTTAGCCGTAATAACACGTAAAACAAATTTAAAACTCGGTATTTTGAAAGGGGGGGGGGGGAATGGAAAAGAGCCGAAGCAAAAACTTGAGAAATATTCTAGTGGAAAAAATTAAACGCAAACACAAAACTGCTCGTATATCAGGGCAAAACCCTCATTGTTCCGGCTTTTTTTCCTTTCCCCCACCTGCAAGTTTTATAAAGTAAACTTTCTGTTCACTTTGTTGAAGTGTTATAGGCTCTTTACCCTCCCCCCCCCCCCACCTGCAAATTTTTATTTTGAAGTTGCCGTTCACTTTGTCTGTTAATGCTACATAGCATTAAAGTATGAAAGTATAGTATAAAGCCAGTATAGTTGCTTAGCAATATCAGCTATATAGCTCAGCGTATACATTGGAACCTGATCTAAACTACATTTTATGATTGGATAAATTAGATATTTTACCAATGTAAAGTATTTAATATTAACCAATCATGATCCATCTAACTAACAACCCACTTATTTGTAAGTGCTGAAGTTACTTGTAATTTCAGCACCAGAGAGATTTGAATTTAACTTAGAAATTAGTTGGACTCTCCCGAGCACTTCAGCAGCCGCAATAAACCAGTATACCCTAGATCTATTGAGCCTAGCAGAGACTAGTTAAACAACCTGAGACTAGATAGTATAAGAGTAAGATTAGGATCGGTATTAGACTAAGAAGTTGCACGAATCTATCCGGCCGAAAATAAGATAGCGTGACGAGCAGACGGTGTACCCTATCCGAAATTACTCTATGAGTTATACACACCAGTCCTAACTCATCTGGTGCGACCATAAGTCTCGAACAAGACCTTAATAGCTTAGAATTAACCAAAATAGATTAGAAATTAGACAAAAACATTTACAAAATGTTATACGACAATAATTTAATCGAAATGTCTCTACGACTCAATAGATCAGAGCCAATATTCCGAACCATAACAGAACTACCCGGAATTGGAAGAAGACCTCGAACCAGAGACGACATACGACAAAGTAGAAACTTGCCATATAGCTATATGATAGTTAGGCAAAAACCAGAACAAACTTTTATATTTAGAATACTACTGGCAATGAATTTAGATTTTCATTTGCAAACATAAAACCTTGAAGTTAATCTTCAAAATCATTTCAGGCGCTAAACAAAATTATTAATATACAATAACGATTGATAAAAAGATCTAAGATCGTTTTCCTAAAACTCTGCAGTAATATACAAAACATGTTTGAAAAATATTTATTGAAAAATAAAAAATAAAAATTAGTAGCATGACAATAAATGGTTAGTAATCATAAATCATCCTGTTGTTCCAGCTCCATCACCTAAAACATAACAGCAATCATAAACCCACTAATATCATCAAAACACTAAATCTTTCCTTTACACACATTTAAAATTTTATTAAAACTTAAATTCACTTAATTTTAAAACCAGATCATCAAGGCTTATCCTTGGATCTTAAATCATTTTCTACTTAATTAAATTTCAAATTTGATCATCAAGGCTTATCCTTGGATCAAACAGAACAACTTTGTTCTCCCCCACCCACTTAATTAGTGTCTAACGACCTCAAACGTCGATTCACTACCCAACCCTTTCTAAAGACCTAAGACTAATAGAAATTTTTAAACAAAACTAATCATTCAAATTAGGATAAACAGTGAAGAACTTCGGTTATTCATCCTTCACTTGACCCCCCCTCTTAACAGACCCAGGATAAATCTTAGACTTAGTAAGTTTAAAATAGTATCTAACGAACTACTCGCGTTCTAATTATACCTGAACCTTGTGGATCGATTTACTATTCTCCAACCCTTGAACACAATCACTACCCCTAAGTAAGATTAAGTAAGTTAACACCTTAACTTATACTAGCCACGAGAAAGTAAAAAATCATTCTTCGGAATCGATATACTTTTCTCTCCAACCCTGAACAAATAGACCCAGGTTAAGCTAACCAAAAAATCGTAAGAACTAACAGTTTAGGAAAATAGAAATCATTTAACAACCTTTTGCATCCGTCATCCTAAACCTTATGTCATTTAAAAACCTAGGAAATAAACAAACAATCGTTTTACACAATTGTGAAATAGATAACAAAAAATACGACCTTGTAATCACACCTCATACACAAACAGTTGGATACATTCGAACAAAACGACAAACACTAAAAAGAAAAATAATAACGAAACAAAGACAAATAACACGAAAAAGATTTTCAAAAAATCGAAACGCATTTTCAGAATCAGAAACCAACAGTTTAGACGAACTTTACAAACTAAAAGAATCAATAGATAAAAATTGCCCACTTCACGATCAATTATATTTTTCTGACTCAGAAACAACTTCAAATTCATCAAAAAGAGGAAAAAGAAGAATAAAAAAGCAGTATAAACACAAACCAGTACATTTATACAATTGGAATCAACCAATTCGACACATTAATAATTACATATTAACAGTCATCGAACGAAAAAATGAGCTCAACGCACACCCCAGGTGACGAAACCCCAGATGATGATGAAATCTTTCCTTTTATAATAGATGCAACCACTGATAGAGGACAGCATATATTTTGCAAAAATTTACTATTAAATTTACTTGAACCCGGAATCAGTCCATGTAAAACAGAGTTCCCAGATGTAAAAATCAAAAGACAAATCATAGACCACTACTTAAAAGATATATGCAACATAACACAACAGTATGGAATCTACTCCATAGAATTCACCTCACCAAACCATAATAATAGAAAATATACAATTCAAACAGACGATCTTGATTTAGAATTTTCAAAAGTTTTTTCAGAATATATAAAAAGCATCCAATATCATAACTCACAAAGAGCAAACTCCATATTCACCAATGAAGTTTTCGCAATAATATATAGTTATATTTCGATATTAGAAAACGAAATCCCAATAACAAATGTCTCACCGACAGAAACATCTAAACATTTAAGAGTACGACATGAAATCACACTACTCTCTAGTTATTTAAACATCATTAAAGAAAATTTCACGAAAGACGACGTTTCACAACATACAAAACACGATCTACAAAAAATTTTGGCATGGTTCATAATAGATTATTTCACACACAATATTGATTTAATTGCACAAGCAAGAAAAAATTTTAGACCCCAAAACTCGAACGATGATACCGCTATCACAGAACAATCAGATTATGTTTGGGACCCCGAATGGTCTCATCCCGCATTTATAAGCTTCCCACAATCAATCTCAAGTCAAGCAATAAGTACGATATCTTACATAAGAGATTATGTAAAAATAATACCATTCACCATTGATGCAACACCATTAAACTATAATACATTTTTGCCCGATACACAAAATAATAGTTTAAACTCTACAGTCATACACAATGAAAACCTCAATGGAACTAGGAATCTTACTCAACAAGATATCCAGACACCATCACACTTCATAAATGAAGAAATTGTACACACAACAACTACACAACAAAGTATTTCACCAATACGCCCAAATTTAACAACACCAAGAAATACAAATCCTTCACAAACACAGGTAACCTTACAATCAACCGTTAAACCTTCGGTTGCCCCTAAATATTCACATATGGATTACCAAACATACAGACCCATGACAATACCATCAAAAACACGCAAAACATTCACTAGAAACAACTTTACAGACCATAATTATAATTATACACATCCATCAAAAACATATAATCAACCACAAAGAAATTTTAACCAATATACAAGATCTCGAAATTGGGATAACCCAATGACCCAACCTAATTCAATAAATTTCCAAACAAATCCTCCACAGGATCACAGTGAAAATTACCCATTTTTTCAACAAAATAAAAATAAAAAACAGACATCTTATCAAATGGATTATTTATCCTCAGATGATGATTTCTTACAACCAGATATATTTGCACCAAATACTCAAGAATATCGTAGACAAGAAATACAGAGAACACGTACAAATCATAGAAATTTTTCTCCACAATCAATAGATGCACAACATCAACAACCAATTCAACAACAAAATCTAATTAATACACAATCTTTTCAACCAATTCAACAACAAAATCCAATGACTGCACGCTCGTATCAACCATCACAAATGCAAAATGAAATACCACTCCCATATTATCTCCAACAACATGAAATAACAAGAAACCAACTTTCAAATTTTTCTCAAATGCCAAATGCAGCAGAATCATTACAAATGACAATGAATCCATACCTTATGGGTGGATCATCAATAACATCAAACAAACCTTTAATGGTTTTCACAGGAACAGACCCTGAATACTCTGTAGAAGATTATTTAAATGCAGTAACAGCAAACCTGATTTTAAATATTGGACCTGAACCAATTAATACGCCACTACATCAAAACTGGATACATCGACGCACAGCGTTAATACAAACAACCTTAGATGGCGCAGCCCAAAAATGGTTTTCAGTACTACCTCTAGAAATAAAATCAAACTGGAAAAGGTTTACACAGGAATTTTCAAAAATGTTTGACTCCGAAAGAAACAAACAACAACAAAGAGTTTTATGTAATGAAATTCACAGATTACCAAACGAAACCATCAAGCAATTAGCAGTACGAATCGAAACACTAGTTCGAAAAGCATATTCACTAAATACACACGACTATAAAAACACAAAGATGACAGAAATCTTAATGATGACCTTAACACCACAATTAAGGAAAATAGCAATAAAAAAGAGAG